TTTGCTGTTGTATCTTCTCTTAGCTCCCCAGAAGGTGCATCTGAGTACTGTGTCCTAGGAGCTAGGTATTTCTTAGGCAGTATCCATATTAAGTTCATTGGCAACACTCCTCTACCCCCCCTCCCTCTTCCCAATTATCCACCTACAGCTTTTCCATATATAACCCTAGTCATCATTTCTTCCATGGCGGAACTGAGCACACTCTCAAAACCAGGACCCACATCCTTAGGCACTGCTTATTTGGTTGCCTGTGACAGAGTCCAGCTACATTGCTCATGCTTCCCTTGAACTTGGGATCCCCCTGCCTCTTGCCTTCCAAATACTGGGACTATATGTTACCATCCTGGCAGACTTAGTCTTTGTTTCCTGTTACCTTAATGGTAGAAGAGGGAGAAGGTTGTCAAATACTGTCCAGAGGTAAGAGAAATATTTATGTTCTGCATGGCTGTTGCGAGAGGGAGGGAAGAAACCCTCTAAGACTGAGCTAGTTCATCAGAGCAATGCAAGAAGTTTTCCCATTAAAGCAACTTGAACCTTCACACCCTGCTATCCTTGGAGCGCCTTGGAAATGCAGATAGACCCAGAGGGTATGTGCTGCTAGCTACCTGCAGATGCTTTCCTGAGAGGAATTTTGCTAACTGTGGAGATGAGATATCTGAGAGAGATGCTGGAATGCCACGACCAGAGAAAGTGAGGGTACAAAGGGTGTGGCTGTGGCATGCCTGCTGCAGTGAGGAAGTCAGAATATATTTGCTTCCTAAGCCACAAACTAAAAATACTCGTGTAATTTCATTTTCCAGAGACAACCACCTACTCATCCAATCCTCACTGACCGTGTCTTTGTTCTCCATAGCCTCTTCCACACAGGCACCAAATTTAAGCCCTAACTGGTGAACTTTTTCTCCATCTCTCACTTGAACTGTTCCTCCATTGCTCATTTGCCATGTCACAAAGTCAAAAATTTCAAATTCTGATAATCACAAGTATAGATAGCTTGGTAAGATGGTTCAGTAAATTCTATATCCCATAGATGCCCTTTCAAGAAAAGAGGAGACCAGGATAAGGCTATGATGTTCATTAAAATGATGTCTCCATAAACAGATGTGGTGGTACACGCCTTTAATCCCAGCATTTGGAGTCAGACTCAGGAGGACCGCTGAGTTCAAGGCCAGCCCACTACAGATGGGTTCCATGACAACCAAGCATACACAGAGATACCCTGTCTCACACAACAACAAACCAAAACAAAACAAAATGAGAAAGAAACAAAAAAAAAAGAAGTCTCCAGAATTTAAAGCTAACCTTAGACCAAAGCATGTCTAAATTGTTTCCTCCCATCCCCACCCCCAACCTATGCTGTCATTGAAGAGAAACAAGGGCTGTGATACACCAAATGAAAGCAGATTGGCACCAAGAATAGAGAAGTTGGGGCTGGAGAGATGCCTCAGTGCTTAAGAGCACTTTCTGCTCTTACAGAGGACCTGGGTTCAGTTCCCAGCACACACATGGCAGCTCACAACCATGTGTTATCCAAGTTCCAGAAGAGCTGATGCTCTCTTCTGACTTCTTCAGGCACTATAAGCACATGGTACACACGCATACATGAGGAAAAAGACTCACTTACACACATATACATATAATTTTTAAAAACTGAATAGAGAAGCTAAGTAAAAAAGAATGCCCAACAAGAGAGAAAAACAAAAGCTACCTACCTAAGCAGCAGGAAAACGCCTTCAAAACCCAGTTAAAGCTAGTTAAAACTGCTAACTACTAGATTTGTTGCTATGCTGCTATGTGCTGTGTGCCTAGAATGCTAGGCAGTGGTGGCAGATGCCTTTCATCCCAGCACTTGGGAGGCAGAGGCAGGTACATTTCTGAGTTCGAGGACAGCCTGGTCTACAGAGCGAGCTCTAGGACAATCAAGGCTACACAGAGAAACCCTGTCTTGAAAAAAACAAACCAAAAAAAAAAAAAAAAAAAAAGACTGTTCAGAGCTTTGACATATGGCTCTGATTTATTAATCTAACTCTGATAGAACATTCCACTAAATGATCCACTTTCATGGTTCCAAGCCCAAGATTTTAGCATTTAAGTATATACTTAAAATGTTTCTCACTGTACTAGGCTTACATACACCCAGTCTCCCGGACAGAGGAAAGAAGTCCCTCTCTCATGATGTGTAATCACACTAAAAATCAAAATCAAGGGAGCTTTTGCCCCTTCTACTTCATGGAAGGTTTCTGTCCTCCCTGAGGTCACCTTAAAGAGTGTTCATGCTGTTAACCCAAAATCATTTCCCAAGCCCTGGCTATGACGTGACACAAAGATGCACATACTGCCTTTTTCCACAACGTGTGGTTCAGTGCAGATCACAAACAATGGTCATGCTTACATGTTTAAAACTTTTCTTCTTTGTAAACTAAAAAGGATCCTTGGAAGCTACAGGAAATCCACCCGAATCGACCTCTCAGGTCAGATGGACTCCAGATTAGTACAGCCAATCCACAGCCTCAGTTTCCCACATATTGCCTATTTCAGAGGGTGGAATTCCTTCCCCTTTTCCCTGGTTTTGGGACTCTGCTCCCCCAACTACCAAAACCATGTGTCCAAAAGTTTCAAATGTGCACCTAAAAAAAATTTTTTTTTTCTCCTTAAGCTACTTAACTTTGTCTTCTGCCCACATATATGTTGCAGTACGCTGTCAGACCCAGGTGTTTCCTACATCCATGGCAGCGCCAAAACAACTATCCACAGGTGCTCCAGTCTAGCCTCGAAGATTGCGTCAGCTGGACCTGCATTTCCTCTCCTAGCCGCAGATGTTCTCAGGTCCTGGATGGCAGTAAAACAGTCGGCTCTCCCAGGACTTCCCCAGTCTCTTAGGGTCCTCAGAGATGTCACCCTCACATCAGCAGTAAGCACCTTTTCTGAACACGAAGTCCTCATTCCCACCTCCGCTATATCTTCTAGTTGCTCTTTTTTTTTTTTTTAATTAAACAAGGATATTGGAGGAATGCTATTCCAATATCCTGCTTCTAGGTTGCCTAGCAACCTCTGACATCATCACCTGCTGCCAGGTGTGCACCAGGTATGCACTGGCTAAAAAGGGCCCGCCCACCATCCCATCCTCTCTCCTACTCCACTTTCTCTTAACTCTCTGTCTTGTCCTGTCTCTCTGTCTCTTTCTCTCTCTGTCATGGGTGCCCCACTCTCTCTCTCTCTCCCCTCCCCCCTTTCCTACAATAAATTTTTCTCATACCAGATCTGTTGTGTGGCCTTATTAATACACATTATAACAGGAAGGCAGAGTGACTTTTTCAGATCATCACCTAGTATTTTGATCATTTTCATCTGAGTTAGATTGATTTAGGGGAGTTGAGGCATTACTTTTGTTAACTTTATTTAATCTGCCCGCCACCAGAATCTTTGTTTGGTGTCCTCTTTCCATTGATCCTTGTGACCTTTGTCAAAAAATTCAGGCAAAGCATCAGAGTATAGACAATAGGCAAAGTGCATGGCAGAGTGCAGTATATTCTCAAGGGTGAGAGTGAGCCGGGCATGGTGACACACCTTTAATTCCAAAACTTGGGAGGCAGAGGCAGGTGGATCTCTGTGAGTTCAAGGCCAACTTAATCTACATAGCAAGTTCCAGGACAGCCAGGGACTACATAGATAGAGACCCCCATCTCAAAAAACTGAACAGCAACAAAATAAAATAGTAGACAATAGCCAGAGGGTCCAGAGAGACGACTGCAGCCCACTTTATATATATATATATATATATATATATATATATATATATATATATATAGGCTTTATAGTGTTTTCTAAAATCTCAAGACAAGACTTTTTTTTTTCCCCCCGAGAGGCTTTGTCCTGTTCAAATGATTGACAAGCCTTTTTGCATTGATTCTGACAGGAAGGGGGATTCTGTATCTTTGTATCTGTGTTGGTGGGACCTAGGATCTTACACATGGTATGTGCTGACACGCTCTCTCTCTCATTTCCCTGTTTTGAGACAGGGTCTCACTAAATTGCCCAGGGTGACAGGCATAAGAACAGCCTTAGTGAGTAGGCACACAAGCATCTCTGGAAGGGGAAGTTTGTAGCCCAGGCATGCTGCAATCACAGCCCTGTGCCATCAGGCCTGGCTGGTCCTTATCAGAAAGCGTCTTACTAGATAGGAATCGTATAAGGTTTAGGGCACCCAGAGTCAGGCTTAGTTATCCATTAGTGACTTTCTAGGCAGTTCAGGATGTCATGTCTCCTTCCAGGACCAGAAATATGACGCAGGTCCTATTTTTCTGACAACTGTAGACTATAACAGAGGGGTCTAGCCCCTAAGTCCTCTGAGCCTGCTAATATCTAACTACCTAAAATACTCCTTGTGCTATAGTATGACATATCAAGGCTACCTGAATTTCCTAACATTTTGAAACTGAAACTGGGCTCCTTTGCTCAAAGCTGATATTTATTGAGAGAGACAGACAGACAGAATGTTCTGCTGTGATGGATTTGCCAAACTACGTACACTTTTTTTTTTCTACAAAGACTTACTTTGCAATGTTTAGCAAAGACTAAAGCGATGCTATCACAATCAGTATCATCAAGATTAGCGTTAAATCACAGACTCCAAAATTAACAATGCGAACAGGACCTTCAGGATTTCTCTGAGAATTCCTGCTGGAGTTTGGCTTTCTTTACTCGCGTCTGCAGCAAATGACACAAACTTCCTAACAGAAAAGTGTTGGTGACTGACAGAATAAACGAGCTCGCTTCTGAGAAAGAGAATTGGAAACGTGGATGCTCATCCTGCGCCCTCCATTCCGGTTGCCAATGCAAATGAGTCAGAGGGCTTGCTTCAGACACTGAACTAATTGTGTAACTCCACAACGGAAAGTGCCATTGGAGAGAACATGCTGACCTCACAGCCGAAAAAAACTATTTAAAAGATGTGGAAACCAGATGTTTCAGCCGCATTCCAGCCGCTGCTCTGAGAAATTCTCGTGGGCAGCCCTGACACTGTAAACGGCTCTGCAAGGGAAGACATGGTCGTCCTCATTTGCTTATGCGTCTTGCTGTGGGAAGAGGCTTACGGATGGGGATTCAAGAACGGAATCTTTCACAACTCCATATGGCTTGGTAAGAAACTTCCCTCACCCTCCCGAGCTTCTTCTTGGGAACATGGATCCTTTGACATCACAGAGGACTGAATCGAAGCAGGAAAGATTTCTAGCGTGTTCACAGCTGAGGTTTTCACAGAAAATGCTTTAGAAAGAGACACTGACAAGGTGTTGAACAAAGAAAGTTTGCTTTTTAAACTTAAGGCTCTCCTTTTACACAATGTACAAAAAAAAAAAAAAGGCTAAGATGTGTCATTGTAAAAATGTATTTTTAAGATTTCGAGGCAGATATGCTAGCTCATTGGTGAGTATTTCTTTATGAAACTTAAACACCAGTATAATAGTTTTGATTTTTTTTTTTAATTTCATTAGCAGAAAGATTTTAGGTGAGGTGGGCTATGCGGAACTTGTGCAGTAGTTCTGAACTCTGTGCACGCCGAGCTGTGGGCTACATCTTAACCTCTGTAACTATCTTTCAACTATTTTAACAAAACTAGAGTGTAATACAGGAAAGAAAAGGAAAACACTTTTTACTTTTTAATGCATTCATCAGGCTTTGGTCCTTTTTGTCATGTAAGTACTTTCCGAGACCTTTGGTTAAATGAGGAAAGTTCTTTTAGTTTGTTAAATGTAAGGGATGACTTAGGCTAAATACTGAAAATGAACAATAGACCAATAAATGAATATATATGCAGAAAACTCAAAATTCACATTGTAGCACTCAAAACAATACTGGAATCCATATGCTTCAACTTGATGCTGCATTTTGTTCATTATTGTATTTAGCAGAGAGAAAATTTTTGATTGCTGGCTGGGAGGTAGAAAATCATTCTTGCACAAAATAAAGAAATAAAAAAGAAAGCAAAAATTAACCTAGATCTTGGTTTTGTGCTTACTAGGCAACACATGGTTATAGACTATTTTCCCCTTTCATCAGGGTTCTCTCATGTAGTAATTGCAACCATGAGGGTTTCATTAAAAAGCTGGATTTGAGCTGCACAGCCTTGCCGCCTCTTTCTCCAGCATGAGTCAGAAACTAGTTGCAGTGTGACCATTTGCCCAAGATGGGCTCCGAAATTCGGTAGATGTGTGCACACCATCCAGCTGAAGAAATACATACACGTTTGTCAGAAATGGGGAGACACCATAAAGCTAGTAAGAATTAAAGTCATACGGGGATATTTTGAAACGCCAGCAATTTCTCCCGGGATTGTGTAGTTTGAAGTCATTGTTTTTGTAGTCAGTGTGTATGGTACAAAAAATATAAACCTGGATAGAAAGCAGTTCTGCCCCAAAGGTAGAGAGAAGCAAGCCAAGCCTTTGTTAGGAACACACTGCGGAGGCTTGAGACCCAGTCAAATGCTTCGAGGTGGGACAAGTTACTGAGCAGCCAGCCCAGCACAAATTGGTTACAGTTGGTTGGGTCAATATAATATTAATAGCTCTTTAGGGATAAAAGATAGCTGGGTTTGATGGAAGGGATCTGGTAGCAAGGGGGAAGAACAGGACATTTGAACTCTGACTTCTAGCTTCTTTAACGGCAATTTAACAAGAAAGGAACTGACAGACAGGAGATGTCAGTGGGTCAACATGGACCTTGAACATTAAAAACCCAGAGAACAATTACTTTCAGTCTTTGTACTGAACCTGCAAAAGGCGGGAAAGTTGCACACTGTGAGCTTCTAATAGGCTGCAACAGCTATCATATTCCCATTTGCAGGATGAGGAAACTGAGGCTCGAGAAGTGATGTCTACAAGGTTACCTAACTCCTCCCAGAAGCGGCAGCAAATACCAGAGCCCGCAGTCCACTCTTGTTGTTTGCCAAAAGAAGAAAAACAGCTTTTTACGTTTTATAAATTAAGTGGCAGAATAGGAAAATTAATAAAATATCATTTCTTTAGACCCATGTATCTTTTAAAACTTAGTTTCATTGCACTGCTTTGCATTAGTAGCTTAAAATCCTAAATCCAGAAATACTTTTAATTAACAAATATACACTAAAATAATAATGGTCCTGATTGTGTACTCCCAGTATTTGATTTGAGGCAGAAAGACTGGGCGCTCTGGGCTAGTCTGGGTTACATAGCAAAAACTTGTCTCAAAATAAATAAGTTAACAAATATATACATAAAGGGACTTGTTTATAATCATCCCTGGGCAGGGTCAAGTGTGGGGGTGCACACCTTTAATCTCGATATTCAAGAGACCATCTCTGTAAGTTCAAGGCCGGCCTGGTCTACATAGTGAGCTTCAGGCCAACCAGAGCTAGAAAGTGATATTGTCTCATCAAACAAACAAACAAAGCAACTTCATATAGAATTGTTCTTGAGCAAAAAGTTCTGTGATCACTAAGACTCAAGAGGCTGAAGAAGGATGATAGAGACTCCGAAGTAAACATAGGCTACACAGTGAGACCTCGTCATAAATTATTTCATTAACTTCATTAACTAAATAGACAAATACATACATTGAGAATTCTCAGTAGTGTTTGCTCATAAGGCAAAATGAAATAGAAATATTTAACAAACTGAAATTATGGCTCATGAAGATTGTTATTCCAGTTATTATCTTATTATCCAGACACATGTCATCAGTTTCCAATAGTTTTGTTCATTTGCTTTTAATTACTGGTAAGACAATTTGAAATTATTTTCTAAAACTCTTTGTTAAGCTCCCCCCAGAAAAGTATTTCAAGTTTGGAGTAAAATATTAAGAAAATTGAGCCCAGTGTGGTGGTGCATGCCTACAAGCCCAACACTCTGGGAGGGAGTGATGGGTAGATCTCTGTGAGTTCAAGGCCAGCCTGGTCTATAAATGAGTCAGGACAGCCAACACTATACAAGGAAAGCCTGTCTCAAAAAAAAAAAAAAAAAATCAGTTGGAGGGAGAGTTGGCATGTATTAAAATAATTTAATAATTTGTATAATTTTCCCATAATTTTTAACTTTACATTCTTGAATACAGATAGATTTTTAAATTTTTAAATTAACAACAATATTTATAATAAACATTAAATTAAGCATGCATCCTTTTTCTCTACCAAAAGGCATAGTGTCTAAAATAAAGACACTTAGTTCAGTGTGGTGGCATACATTTTTTTTTTCTTTTTGGTGGCTGGAGAGACAGCCATGGGTGCTGGGAACTAAACTCAGCTAGGCTAGGTTGTGAGCCTAGCCTTTAATGGCTGAGTCATCTCTCCAGCCCTACATTTTTTTTATTATTATTTCACGTACATTGGTGTTTTGCTTGCATGTATGTCTGCGTGAGGGTGTCAGATCCTCTGGAACTGGGAGTTACAGACAGTTGTGAGCTGCCATATGGGTGCCAGGTCCTCTGGAAGAGCAGCCAGTGCTCTTAACTACTGAGCCATCTCTCCAGCCCCAGTGGCACACATTTTAATTTTCACACTTAAATGGCTGAGACAGAAGAATCAAAAGTTCTAGGCCAACTGGGGCTACATACCACGACCCTTTGTAAAACAAAAACAAATAAGCAAACATTAAAAAAAAACAGGGCCAAAGAGATGGCTTGCAGTTAAGAGCATTAGCTGCTCTTGCAAAGGAAGCAGATTCCATTCCCAGCATACACATGGCAGCTCACAACCATCTGTAATGCTAGTCCCAGACGATTCAACACCGTCTTTTGGACTCCTCAGGCATGCAGTGCACAGATATACATGTGGAAAAAATAATACCCATATACATAAATTTACAAATTAATTTAAACAATGATAAATATACTTCAGTTGCCCACTCGTGCATGTTTAAGTTCTTCAAGGGGACAAGGCTTTATCCACAACACCTAGAAAAATTTATCACGCTACATGCTCAAAGGAATAAAACCGGAAATTAGTGGGTGTATTTTGCTTTGCCCCATGAAGGACACCTGAGCAGGTTATTTATAGAATGAAAAATCATCTCCACTGGTGATGAACTGATGTTGCTAGTGTTTTCTGGTCCATAAGCATGGGATGTAAGCTCAGCTGGTAGCGTGCTTGCCTAGCATGCGAACAAACAAACAAAAGACCCTGGTTTATTTCCCAGTACCAAAAAACCCACTGTTGCATGCTGTAATCCGAGCACTCAGGAGATGAAGGCGGATAGATCAGAATTTAAGGTCTCCCTCAACTGCATACCTAATTAGAGGACAGCTTGGCACATGAGACCTAGCATCAGAGTAAATAAAAAAAAAAAAAAAAAAAAAAAAACAAAAACATCCAATTGACTGTTGTCTTCTCTGAGCCACGGGCCTTAACCGTGTAATTTACAAGAGCAGGATCCCTGGAATCTCAAAAAGGGTGAAACAAAACCAGTGCCATTTCCCATCAAACCATGGCAGAGTCAGCTCTAGTCTGGGTCAGAGAAAAATTTGAGTTGAGTCGGAGCGTGTTTCTGGATCTGTGTCTTGCTGTGTGCCGAGGCATTCAAAACTTCACTGGAAACATCTCCGTGGTGGCCTGGTGGCCGACGGGATGGATCGGTATACAAACGCTTACTGGTGAGCTGCACAGCTGGGTGGTACTCCCATAGCGCCGTTGGAGATGAATGTGTGACTATTGACTGGGGAATCTTCACGTTGTTTCTATGGCGACATCACTGCCGTCCCCAAACAATTCACTGAAAACAGTGACCCGGTGCAAGATAGGGTTGTGTGTGACTTGCCTAAAATATGTGGGAAACAACATGCCAAAAAAGAGGTTAGAGGTATGGGAGGCTCTTTTTCTCTGCTGTGTTCGGATCGCTTTTCTTTGGTGCTCTGCTGGCTTGCTGAGGAGTCTGTCAGGTTTCCCCACCGTTTTTAAGTTCTTGACCACACTCTCAACTATATCACCTTAATCATTCCCTCGAACGGGCCTGTCCTCCTTCCCGGCGAGCTTCTGTAAAGAAGTCGTTTTCTCTGCTTTATTTTGCATTCTGAGTTTCCTTTATCTACTACATACCTATCCAAGCTTTTATGACTCTTTTTAAAGCCAAAAGAATATCAAAACTAGCTGGGCATGGCGGTGCACGCCTCTAATTCCAGCACTCAAGGAGGAAGAGGTAGGCATATCGTTGTGAGTTCAAGCCCAGCCTGGTCTACAAAGCAAGTCAAGGACAGCCAACGCTACACAGAGAAACCTTGTCTCAAAAAAACCGAAGAGAAAAAACAAAACAACTTTATTACTTGTGACTACTCATAAATATTGTATTAATTTTTTTCTTTCATGCTATCAGAAATTACCTAAACTCCAGTCTTTATGTATCCTATTTTTCCCCCTAAAATTCCCCCTCATTCTTTTTTTCCCCAAAGCTTTCTAACAACAAAAACTTAACTACCATGGCAGCTGACCTAGAAATTTCTTTGGCAAGAACATGTATCTGATGTAATCTCCCTGCTGAGGCAAAATTTCCTTTGTTCCACAAGAATGGATAATAGTGCATTAATGACATTTTGTAAATTCGCAGAACAAGCAGCGGGTGTGTACCACAGAGAAGCCCGGGCTGGCAGATACAAGCTCACCTACGCGGAAGCCAAGGCTGTTTGTGAATATGAAGGTGGCCGTCTCGCAACCTACAAGCAGCTAGAAGCAGCCAGGAAAATTGGTACTGACTTGATAATGGCTTTTCTTCTTATTCTCCCCTGGGGCCTTAGGGGAAATCCACCTTTTCCAAAACCTTTCCTAAGATTTTCTCTCAAGTCCTTTGGGATCATTCTCTATGTTGTAAGAGTATCTTTGCTTTCTGGAGCTTCCCTCATCCCTTCTGCCTGAAGCCAGAGAAGTTCCTGGTAACAGCATCTCATGAGGGTTAGGCATCATCCAGTGAGAACTAAGAAAATAAAAGTCACGGCAGAGATAGTGAGTTTGGGTGAGACGCCGACATAAAATCACTGATCAAAATGAGCTTTGGAGAGAGAGAGATTGAGAGAGAGAGAGAGAGAGAGAGAGAGAGAGAGAGAGAGAATCTGTTTTAAAACTTGGAAAAGACTCAGCTTCCCTGGTCGGGGATGGTCCTGATGAGACCTGATAAACTAGGGTCAGATGGAAGGGGAGGAGACCTCCCCTATCAGTGGACTTAGAGAGGGGCAGGGAGGAGATGAGGGAGGGATGGTGGGATTGGGAGGGAATGAGGGAGGAGGCTACAGCTGGGATATAAAGTAAGTAACCTGTAATTAATATAAAAAAATAAAAGTAAAAATAAAAAACTTGGAGAAGAGCTTCATTAGGAGAGAGAGCTGTGAGATAGCCACCATGTACGGCCTGGTAGGGAGGTTGATGGAACAGTTCTTTGAGTCATCGGAACAAAAAGAGGCTTTAGACTTTCCTAGATTTCTATGGAGTGTCAGGAGGCTCCGCTCGTGTGATTTAGCCTGGCTTAGTCTATATGACCCCTGGCACAGCCCTGGGCCAAGCACTAAACAGGACCGCAAACTTACCTTGCCGCTGGGGAGGAGAGGTGCTGCAAGGCCACAGCCCAGCATGCTTAACTTTCTGTCCTCAAGGTTTCCAGGAGAGACAAAGAAGCAGGTAGAGGGTCTATGATCTAAAAAATAAGCACCAAAGGAAAATAAGGACCCGTGTTACCTTGGTATCATTGAAACACTATGTATTGATGCGACTGTGATTGGTAATCATTTAAAACATTGTTCGATTTCTCTTGACGTGTTCATGTTGGTTTCCTCGGCTGTTAAATAATGCTACTTGACAAATAAATTTAGTAGTAGCAGTGCTGGGTCCCCGTGACTCCCACAGCCATCAGAGTAAAGATTGGAAGAATGCAAGAAGGTAGTTTGGTTCAACACGACTCAGTAGCTAGTACTGGCTTAAACTTCAGGAGTCTGACCCCGAATAGTTTATTTTAGGCATATGGAAGTGTAGCACAACTGGCGAGAATTGACTCAATCCCGTGTGCATGATATAACTTACAACCCGACTCCATGGAAAGTCTTTTTAAAGCACATGTGACATCTTCCATAAAGATGGGGTCTGCAGATTGACAAGTTCACAATAAGGGTCTGAGGGAGCATCTGGTGTGGTCTTGGTCACACAGATGGTGAGGAGGTCACCGGGCTATGAACCATGTCTGTTCCCAGCCTTCCAGGTAGAACACAGGTTACACATCCCTCCCTTTGAGGGGATAAACCTGTGTGTTTAGCATTCCAGGTTCCCCTAGTGCTTATCTTGTGAGCACAGGACCTCTGTGCCTCCCCCAGTGGTAGAAAGGCTATCATTTAAGGAACAAATGAGCTTTTTGGCTTGTTTGTTTTCAAGAGTCCCACCATATAGTCCAAGCTGGCCTCAGACTTGTAATCTTCCTCGTGCCTCAGTTAACCTCGTGCTGGGACTACAGGTACAGGTACAGACATACCAGCATGCATTTGTACTGCTGTGCCGTAGGGTTCAAAGCTGTGAGGAGGGCCTTACAATGGCAGGAAAAGGAAACTGGGAAGGTGATGATACCAAGAGACCTCCTGAAAGGTCCAGCAGTTAACTGTTGCTATTACTTGAGTGCTCACTCGGTTGGTTGTCTTTGGGTTTTGTGTATTTTATTTGTTTCGAGACAACATCCCACAGAGCCCACACTGGTCTCAAATTCACTCAGTAACTGAGGCTACTCCTCCTACCTTAGCCTCCCAAACCCTGGGACTACCTATATAGCCTCACTGTAGAGCCCCAGCAAAACTCGATTGTTGACCGGGCTAGCCTTGAACTCACAGTCATCCCATCTATCTCTGTCACCACATGCTGAGATTAAAGGTATGTACTACCATGCCTGGCTACCACTATTTGCTTTTTACACACACACACACACACACACACACACACACACACACACACACAAAAAAAAAAAAAAAAAGCTAGCTACCATCTCTCTTGAGACTCTCCATCAGAACTCCTTTTCTTACAGGCGAAAACCTGGCAGGGCCTATTCTATTTTTATACATTATTCAAGACAAACATACAGCAGTAAATTATCCCACAGCATCAGTAAGGGACTGTTTCCAGGATCCCCACCGATAGGCAGAATCCAAGAATGTTCAAGTGCTATGGATCAAACCCAGGGCCACGCCCTGCTGCACAGACTCAGGCACTGACCTACACCCACATCTCCTTTATGTTTTATCTGCTTGCTTGCTTGCTTGACTTTTATTTGTGTGTTTTTGTTTTTGAGACAACATCTTTTTGGTCTCACACTTGAGTACTGAGACTTCAGTACTCAGACTTCAGTACTCAGCCTACCTCAACCTCCTGAGTACTGGCTGATATTATGGACAACTAACCACAAGCTAGTAAAAGTCAGAATTCAAATTGTATAGCCAGGCATGGTGGCTGGCGCTGCATGCTGGCAATCCTGGTAGCACTTAGAGGTAAAGGCAGGAGCATTAGGAGTTCAAGGTCAACCTCAGCTAAATAGAGAGTTTTCGGCCAGCCTGGATTATATGAGATCACTTGTTGAGGAAAAAAACAAACCAACAAAAAAAAAAAAAAAAAAAAAAAAAAAAACGGAATCAGGGCATGGTGGTGCCTGTCGTTAATCCTGGCACTCAGGAGGCAGAGGCAGGTGGATCTCTGTGAGTTCAAGGCCAACCTGGCCTACACAGTGAGTTCCAGGATGGCCACTTCTGTTACACACAGAAACCCTGTCTTAAAAAAACAAAACAAAACAAAAAAACATTAAACATGTTTTATTTGCATTCAAACATTGGTTTGGTTTAGTTTGGTTTGTCATTTTGTTTCTTTTGTGGTGCTAATGACTTAACCTAAGGCCCAAAGCTTGGTTCTGCCTAGCCTGGCCTCAAAGTTAAAATCTTTCTTCCTCAGTTTCCGGGGTACTACAATTGCAAGGGTTTTCCCGTTCCACACAGAATGAGTTTGGCCACTTGAGAAACTTACTGTAGGAAGTGGCTGTCTCTCCCTACTAGGTGAGTGCCTAAACCTCCCTTCCTCTTTCAGGATTTCATGTCTGTGCTGCTGGATGGATGGCCAAGGGCAGAGTTGGGTACCCCATTGTGAAACCCGGGCCCAACTGTGGCTTTGGAAAAACGGGCATCATCGACTACGGGATCCGGCTCAACAGGAGTGAGCGGTGGGACGCTTACTGCTACAACCCAAACGGTTCGTTCGCAAACAACAGCAGCGAAGCAGCTCCCTGCCAAGGGGCTGCCAAGGGAGACAGCTCCTCCTTCCCAAAATGAGGAAACGGGGGAATGGTGGCTGGTGGCGGGAAGAGTATGCCTACCGTTCATAGGTCCTTTCAGGCTGTGAAAGGAGCCGAACTGTGTTCCCTCCTTCGTGAACAGAGAGCTATTCTTTGTTCATGTTCTTGGAGAAAGAACGCAGGATCTTTCTAGATATGTTCTCCCGGACAACAAAGTGTTACTCATGATGTGACAGAGCCTTTCTGGCATCTGCTGACACACTGAGGTGATGAAGTGTTGGATCTACGGTATGTGAAATTCCATAATGGTATGAGAATGATGGCAACATTCTAGGCTCCTGTCACAGCATTGCTTTATGGTACTGACCGTCACAGAACAGCCTTCCTTGTCCATAAGAACATACAGCACAAAATTAGGTGGATTCCAAGTAGGAAGAATTTTGCCTAGATCTGTCTACTGCACTCATTCAAAACAAAGTAAAAGGCATTCATCACAGGGCTATGACTGACACATCACCTTGGTTCCTTGGCTTGTTCGTTTGGGTTTGGGTTTTGTTACTGCTGTTCTTGGTTTGGTTGTTTGTTCTTTTGGTTTATTGTTTGTTTTGTTTTATCTTTGTTTTTTTAGACAGGATTTCATTGTTCATCCCAGGCTGGCCTGAAACTCACTATGTGGACCAGGCTGACCTCAAATTCACAGAGTGCTAGTATTAAAGGTGTGTGCCTCCACACCTGGCCCAAATCAATTTGTGCACACCTCAAGCTTTTAGTCCTAGCCTGCACTCTACTACTGCCATTGTTAATCATTGCCAGAGTCTAAAGTGAAGCCACGCATGCTATCACATGCCTTTAATCTCAGCTGTCAGGAGGCAGAAACAGGCAGATCTCTATGAGTCTGAGGCTAGCCTGGTCTACATAGTGAGTTCCAGGCCACCCAAAGCTATATAATGAGACCTGCCTCAAAAGCAAACAACAAAGCCAACGTATAGCATAAGTGAAGCAGTGTGAATGAAAGGGCTCTTCCACGATCCATTGTCCCGGTGGCACAGGTTTATAATCCAGCACCTGGAAGATATAGGCAGGAAGATCTGGGTTCAAGGCCTGGTTTGGCTATGGATGTGCACATTCAAGGTCAGCTTGGGCTACATGAGACCTTGTCTTTAAAAGACAATATTAATACCTACTTGAGTATATTCTTGTTTGACCTGATGACACATGACTGAATCCTAGTGCTCCGTGGACCGAGGCAGGAAGATCAGGAATTTGAGACTAGCCTGGACTACAAGTGGAATATCCATTTTTAATAATATTAAATAATATTTTTATAAAAAGTTTTAAAGGTAGAGATTTAACACAGTCAGGAAAATGCTTGCCTTGCAAGCATGAGGACCTGAATTCCAGATCCAGAACTAATTTTCTATCGTTGTTGATGATGATATTGTTTTGGCTCTTTGAGACAGAGTCTTTTTTACCTAGAATTTCCTATGCTGGCCTCAAACTCACAGAAATCTGCCTCTTTAATGCTGATATTAAAGTCCAAGAAATGATGCTATAACAAACAAACAAACAAATAAATAACAGCCTGCATGGTTGCACACACTTGCAATCCTCATGCTAGGAAGGCAGAGACAGGAGGACCTTAGGGCTTGATGGTTATTCAGCCTAGCTTACTTCTGGGGCAATGAGAGACCTCTGTCACAAAACAAAACAAAAAAAACCAAAACCCAAAGTTATCTTCTAGACAAAACACGAATGTATGCGTGTTTTGTTTTTTTCAAAACAGGGTCTCACTGTGTAGCTTTGGCTGTCCAGGAACTAACTATGTAGACTAGACTAGCCTCCAACACAGAGATCTGCTTGCCTCTGCCTCCCACGTGCTGGGAATAAAGGTGTATGCCACCACTCCTAGAACTAGGATAGGGTTTTTTGTTTGCTTGTTTGTTTGCTTGCTTGCTTTTCAAGACAGGGTTTCTCTGTATAGCCTTGACTGTCCTGGCTTACTTTGTAGACCAGGCTGGCCTCAAACTCACAGAGTGCTGGGATTACAAGCATGTGCCATTGTGTCCAGATAATAGATAGTTTTTTGGCTTCCACATTCAACCACTTCTAGACACTTAACTCACAGGGAATTTAAAATTATGTAGGCGCCTCGGTAGTTTTTCTCTAGGTCATGTTGCAAACCACCGATCCTGAGTTTCTTTGGATTTAGTTTTTGTTTTTCATTTGTTTTTCTTAACAGATTACATACTGCAATTTATAAAAATGAATGATTTGGAGAAGAAAACACACACACACACACACACCTTCTCCCAAATTCTGAATTTTAGTGTTCTAGAGAATACAGATTTAGGGCTGGGGTATCCCTTAGTAGTAAGACCTATGCTTAGCACATGTTAGATTTGGCTTGAAGCCCCAGCACCCAAAAAAGCAATCAAGAAATGAATGTGGTATAGCACAGCCATAATCCCAGTACAGGACGTAGATGGTAAGGGGTAATGCCATAAAGTCAAGGCTGTCCTAATCTGCCACGGCAAGTTCCAGGACAGACCGCGGACCCTGCCTTGAAGGGAGAAAGAGAAAAAGAGGACATAGTTTACAATTTATTTTACTTTAAAGTGACTTTTATAATGATGTTGTAAACAAAATTTACAGGATCTAAGCGAGTCCCTGAAGGCACAGTGTGGCAGCTACACAATAAAATTCCCATCACCTTGATGAGACTATTGATAACATGAATGTATATTCGACAAAATACACCAAAGTATATATAAATATTATATATATAATATTTTATGCCTTAAAAAAACCAAAGCAAGGAAAAATACAAACAGAAATACAAATGTTGTTATTCTTGCTATTTTCACATTTAAAAATTCACAAGGAGTCCGTGTTTGTTTCAGAACAGTTAGGAACTTAGCCTGAAGGATAGCATAATGTGTAAAGGACCTTGCCACTAAGCCTAATGACCTGAGTTCCATCCCTGTGACTCACATCATGGAAGGAGAGAACTGACTACCAGAGATAACACACACACACACACACACAAAGAATAATTTCTTTAATTTAGAAATTATTATCACCTATAAGCATATGTAATATCCTATGGATCATATATTGTCATTTCTTTATAATGTCTAAGTGAACTTTCTTTTTCCTATTTCAGCAAAGGAGTGTGGTGGTGTCTTTACAGATCCGAAGCGAATTTTTAAATCTCCAGGCTTCCCAAATGAGTACGATGACAACCAGGTCTGCTACTGGCACATTCGGCTCAAGTATGGCCAGCGAATTCACCTGAGCTTTTTGGACTTTGACCTTGAACATGATCCTGGCTGCTTGGCTGACTACGTAGAAATCTATGACAGTTATGATGATGTTCATGGCTTTGTAGGAAGGTAGGTACTGCTCCCCAACAAATGACGACCAGGGAACTTTCAGTATTTATCTGATGCTCCTATAGTTTTCTCTCCACTGTTCCTATGTACCTATTCATTCTCCATATTACTACTCTCTCCTGCAGGAAGTAATGTTTTTTCCTTCTCCTCCTCCATCTCTTTCTCCTCTCCTTTCTTCTTCCTCTCCAAACTTCCGCTTTTCTTCTTTGTTAGGGGAGCTGGGATTGCACCCCGGCCTTGAACTCATTATGTAGTTCAGGCAGGCCTGGAACTCCTGATCCTCCTGCCTCCACCTCTGCTTTTATATAACTTGCCAGCTGTCATGGGTTCAGAATCACTGACCACTAGAACCCCAGACTCTAACTGTTAGTTTATTGAACACTGGACAAAGACTGACCAGCCAGGGTCATAATCTGGACTCAGGAGCCAGAGTATCACATCTGTCTGGCAGGTTTCTAAGGCAGGTTTTTTATACGAAAAATCATAACCAGGTAACAACCAGGTAACCAGGTATAGGAAGCAAGGGGGGGGCAGCATTACATCATTTTGACTAGCTAAACATAATCCATGTTGTTCCAAGTATACTGTGTAGTATCTAGGTAGCTAGACAAAGCACTCTCAGCTGATTGGCTGAGATTTAAGGTAGGATAGCTCTTGGGGTTTTTCTAGCTTTCTGGGACCAAAAAACATAGCAGGATGTTATGATCTTTAACTCTAGCAGAACATGCGTTTATCATATACTGTTTTTTTTAAGATTTATTAATTTTTACTATTTATACAGAGTTCTGCCTGCATATGTGCATAAAGGCCAGAAGATCTCATTATAGATGGCTGTGAGCCACCATGTTGGTTGCTGGGAATTGAACTCAGGACCTTTGGAAGAACAGCCAGTGTTCTTAACCTCTGAGCCATCTCTCCAGCCCCCCCCCCCCCACACACACACACATACTGTTTTATTCTAAGCAGCAAGTATTGAACTATTAAATTGTATCCTGGTCTCTGGTGCATAGGCCTGAAACTTAATTTCACCTTATAATCAAAATAGAGAGTTGGAGGCAAAATGGCTTCTGATATGCTAAAGACTACAGCAGGTGTTAACAGAAGAGCTATAGTTATGCTAAGAACTGAGTAGGTCTCAACAGAGGGGCTATAGAGTTTAAGCAAGTTAAAACACCAACGGAGGATTTTTCTTTACTGGCTGTACCTATACTAACTATATCTGCCTTTGATTGCTGAGTTATAAAACCTTATTGTCTAGTTATTCAAAATCTCACATGACCAAAGACACAGGAAATGAAATTTCTGTTAAAATATTCAAGTCAGTCTCTCTCTCCCTCACTCTCATTTTGAGTACATTGTGACTCTTCTGTAGCCCAAGCCTGCCTCAAATTCACTATGTAACCGTGAAAGACTTTGAACCTGATTTGTCTGCCCCAAACTCCATGTTAAAAAAAAAATATTAAGGAATGAAAATAGCACATGCCTTTAATCCCAGCACAGAAGGAGGCAGAAGCAGACAGATCTCTGATTTTGAGGCCTGTCCTGATCTACCCAGTGAGTTTCAGGACAACCAAGGCTACAGGAAAACCCTGTCTTGAAAAAAACAACAATAACAAAAAATTAAGATTATCCATTGAGAGGCAGAAGCAAGCGGTTCTCTGGTCCATGTAGCGAGTTTCAGATCAGCCAGGGATACATACATGAGACCCCATTTGAAATGAATTATTTTTAATTGGAAATAAATAAGCCATTATCTATAGAAAATAAAGTATTTTGTTATAAATTCAAGTCACATCAACAGCTGAATTTTCTTTTGTGTATGTGTGTGTGACCTCTCTTTTCTAAAAATCTCCTTTCAGATACTGTGGAGATGAACTTCCGGAGGACATCATTAGTACAGGTAATAAACAACTCACAGCAAAACTTTTGTTTGCTTTTTTCTAGTGCCCTCAAACTTATTATCATTCACCCTTTAAACTTGAGAGAACTAAAACTGGAGACAGTTCATTAGCTTGCAATAATGTCAGTCTTTATTCTTAAGATTTCGGCCAACTCTGTGATCTAAATGATGTGTGTGGACAGCTCTCACTGACAGGCAACAGCTTGAATCTACAAGTCCCTAAGAATCGCTGTTGGCACAGGGATTCAGAGTGGTGACAAATGAGTAGGGACTGGCACTAAACTCAGTGGTACAGTGCTTGTTTTGTACATGCAATGGCTCTAGGTTTGAGTCCTACCACAGATGATGATGATGGTGATGATGATGATGATGATGATGATGACGATGATGATGGGTGAAAATATTCACTGATAAAAGACAGAATGAATTTTCAGGTAGTTATCACAGCACCCACCACAGTAAACGACTACATTGTTTGTATCACATTTCTTTCTCAGTACAACATTCCTTAGAGTTCCTTGTGATACATTCAGCAACCATTGCATGAGAAAAGGGAAATAAGCCGTCGGATAGTGGCTCAGGCCTTTGATCCCAGCAGTTGGGAGGCAGAGGCCTGCAGATCTCTGTCAGTTCTTGAGGCCAGCTTGGTCTACAGAGCAAGTTCTAGGACAGCTAGGACTACAGAGAAACCCTGTCTTGAAAAAAACCAAACCAAACCAAAACAACAGCAGCAACAAAAAGAAAACAAAACCAGAACAGGGAAGTGCTAGGATAAACAGTGATAAAATGGTTTCTTTATTGGCAACCTAAGGAAACTTTTAGAATGTTAATTTATGCAGTAAATCTCAAAAGGCCAGACATAATAGGCAATGTTTGCTAAATCTCACACACACTCAAAGCTATTTTGTATGCTCGTGTTTTAAGAAGTAATGCTCTTAAGACATGTCCTGTTAGTATCATAAATTGATCCCAATAGGCAATACTACTCTTTAAGTTATCCTAAACTGCTTTTTAAATTTTTTTATTTTCAGCTAAAACCTCCATTTTCTCACAAGTCTCTGCTTTCTTTCTCTTTCCAGCCAGCACTTGGCATTCTGATAGCATGTGTTTTCACTCCAAGTCATAAAATTATCACAGTTCTTCACTCCTCGGAGCAGCAGCACCCCAGCCAAGGCAATGCTCAGTCCTTTCCCCACACCCTGACTGGCTGCACTCAGATCTGAGGTGTCATTTTTACAAGCTGTGATGCTCTCTACTCTATCCATGAGCGCTCACTGTTTAAAGCTTATTAATGTGTTCTTGTTACAATCTACCCAAGAGGAGAAACTCATTCTAAATCTCTTATCTCTCTTTTCTCAAGGACATATTTTATCTTGACAGAAAATCTGAATGAAGTTGGCTTTAGACCAACAACAAGGCAGTTGGTACCTGAAATTTTTCCTTAAAAAACCAACAGTAGAGCTACATGTGGAAGCAGAGGCAGAAGGATCACCCAGGAATTTGAGGCTAGCCTAGGCTACATAGTGAGTTTCAGGTCTACCTAGTGAGATTCTGTCTCAAATACAACAACAAAAAGCATTAGTGAGAAGAAAGTCTGAAACCTAACTTATTCCATGTTTGTCCTGAATGAGTATCTTACAATAGGAATAATTAAACCAGTACTGGAATCTTTAGAATACTTACTCTCAGCCAGGCTCCAAGGCTCACGCCTGTAATCCCAGCACTCTGGAAGGAAGAAGCCAGCAGATATTTGTGAGTTTGAGGACAGCCTGGTCTACAAAGCAAGTCTGGGACAGCCAAGACTACATAGAGAAACCCTGTCTCAAAAAAACAAAAGTCAAAACAAAAAAACAAAACCAAAAAGAATATTTTATCTTTAGCAGGTCCTTATTAGATTATTTATGTTTTGTTTATATGATTATTCTTTGTATATTAGAGATACTATTTTCTCTTGTTTTGGCTTCCTCTTTAGATCGTCACCTATCACCTGTGAATTTTGAAATAGGATCCCACCTGAGATTGGCCTTAAATTCTATGTAGTCAAATCTAGTCTCAAACCAAAATCCTAATCCTCCTGTCTCAGTACAAATGCTTCAAGCCATACCCAGCTAACCAGGGCTTCTTTTACAGTACAAATACAAGAAATATTTAAATCAAGTAAAATGTTCCAATATCAGAAAAATGCAGTGTGACAAGTGTGAATTCAGGCTGCCTGGGTTCACATGTAATATGTGTGTGTATGTGTATATATATATACATACATACATACATATATATATATATATATATATATATATATGTATATATATATATATATATATATATTTACACACATACATACATATATATATATATATACATATATATATATATATATATATATGTATGTATGTGTGTAAATAGATATACATACTTGTTTTTTAATTGACTTATGGATTAAGGATCTAAGCTAAGAAATGCTCTGTGAGTTACCAAGATGGCTCAGAGATTAAGACCTCTTGTTGCTCTTGCAGAGTTCCAGGTTCCATTCCCAGCACTTAGATGGCAGCTTGCAGACATCTGTAACTCTAGTACCAGAGGCTCTGATGCCCTCTTCTGATTTTGGAGGGTACCAGGCATTCAGGTGGCACACAAATATACATCTGTGCAGACAAAACACTCATGCACATAAAATAAGTGAAGATAAAAATAAAATAACTTTTAAAAGAGGCATATAAAAGTGGAAAGGAAGATCCACTTCCGCAAAGCTGCCCTCTGACCTTCCATGCACACCATGGCAAGCCGTCCCATTCACAAACATCAGCAGCACATCCGTACACGCAATAGTGATGTTCTTTTAAATCTTTCCCCCTGAAATATTCCTCTATGCTATTTGAGCACATCATGTTAAAGTCCATTTTAACTCTGCTCTAAGAAGTAGGCCTCTAGGTTTATTTCTTGGCTTTCTTTTTTTTTCTATTAATTAATTGGTTTATTTTATTTTATTTTTTGTGACAGACTCTCTCTAACTACATAGCCATAGCTGGACTGGAAATCACTATAGAGATGAGGCTAGCCTTGAACTCGCAGACTGGTAGAGGCATATGCCATCACAACTGGCCCTAAGCTTGCTTCCTAATAATGCAAAGTGTATTGCTCCCCATCAGTTAGTAAGCTGCCCATCCACAACTCTTAGGCTTGAACTGATGTCAAGTTCTTATAATTCTGTGGATCCATCCAGAATTGTTTTTTGTTGCCTCGTGGTGCTGGGATCAAATCCAGAGTCTGGACATGCTAGAAAAGCACACTATCATAAAATTTTACTTATTTCATTTCATTTGGAGGGGCAGAAAAGTGAAGGAGCCGTGAGCCCTAGAGAATCTTCTAAAACAGAAAAGAAGACATTTTCCACATGAGATTAGAGGCCTGGAATCAAATATGAAAGTCCCTCACTGACTCCACTGAGCAGGGCAATTACAGATACTAAAACTTGAGAATCCACGTCTGGACGCAACACTCTTGATCATAACTCTCTGTGTTCTTTTGTGAGATGATAAGTCATTGAATTGTTAGACAAATCAAACAGAAGTAACCTCTTTGTTCTTTTGTGTGCCTCCCCCCCACAGGAAATGTCATGACCTTGAAGTTTCTGAGTGATGCATCTGTCACAGCCGGAGGTTTCCAGATTAAATATGTCACAGTGGATCCTGCATCTAAATCCAGTCAAGCCAAAAACACAAGTACTACTGGAAATAAAAAGTTCTTAGCTGGAAGATTTAGCCATCTATAAAAAAAATTTTTTTTAAGATTTTCAAAACATACAATATTTATGTTTGTAGTTTTTGGACCTCCTTTGTTCTCACTTTTGTATTTTTATTATTAACGTGTATTTATTATTTTTCCAAATGTGAAAGCAATACGTAAATGTGGGAAAAACTGAAAAAAAAAAAAAGAGGAAAAAAACCTCATAACTGAACTACATAGAAATAACTAGTGTTAAGATTTTTCAGCATTTCTCTTTCATTCATTTTTCTACCTGTAGTATATGTATATATGTAACTATATGTATTTGTATTTGAATTTTGGCATTCTGCATTATGTATAGTTTTTTTTATCCTGATATTTTTAACATTTGTAGCTCGAGTAATTCCCAAGATCACTGAGCTTTCTACAAAACAAGACTTCCATAGCTGTAAATATTCCCTGGTATGATTGTTCCCTGACTTATTTAAGCCAAATTTATATTGGGATGGAAGGTTGTTTTCATAAATATTGCTGTAATAAATACCCTTGGACATAAATATTTTTGTAGTTCTTGAATTTTAGTCCTCTTAATCCCTGAGCCTCCTCTCCCATCCCAGAACTTTTCTTTCTTGAAAAAGGACACAACTGGGTAGTTTGGTTGGTAATGTGGCTTTTATCTCTCTCTGGACTCCTTGGAGGGTCAGACAAACAGCGCAGTCAGTATGAGCGACTCCATGTGGCTTGGCGTGTTGGGCCTAGTGCAGGGGCTGGAGCTAAGCAACAGCCTCCAGTGAATCCTTTAACACGATGAGCATGCCCACTGAGAGACCAGATGCCAGGGCTACAGAGGTGGTTCAGAAGTTAAAGGCACATACTCCTCTTGCAGAGTACCCAAGTTTGGTTCCAAGCACCTATGTCAGATGGTCACAACCACTTGTAACTCCAGTTCCAGGGTATCCAGGACCTCTGTGGGCACCACATGTATGTGCATATATCTACTTATAGACGCATACATGACTTAAAATAATACATATTTTAAAGTGATTAGAAGCTGGAAATATGGCTCAATGGCTAAGAGCATTGGCTGCTCCTCCAGAGGACCTGAGTTCAACCACATGGCAGCTTACAACCATCTGTAACTCTAGCTCCAGAGGCTCTGAGGTCCTCCTCTGGCCTCTGAGTCACACACAAGATGCACCAACACCCACAGGGATTAAAGACAAACAACACATAAACAAAACAAGCTGGGCGTGTGTTGCACATGTCTACTCCCAAGCACCTGGGAGGTAGAAGCAGGTGGGGCAGGAGGATTTCTGAGTTTGAGGCCAACCTGATCCACAGAACAAGTTCTAGAACAGTCAGGGCTACACAGAGAAACCCTGTCTTGAGAAGCTCAACCAACCAGCTAACCAGCCCCAAGTATAAACAACAAGAGAACAATAAATTGTAAAAATAATAATCTTAAAAAAGAAAGAGACCGTAACTCTAGCTCCAGGATGCACATGACATACAGACAAACATGGGAACAAAACACTCACACACATAAAATAAAATACATTGAAAAAAATTTTTTAAAAGGGCCGTGGAGATTGATCAGCGGTTAAAAGGACTGAAGTTCAATTCCTAGCACCCACATGGTGGTTCACAACTGTCCATCACTCCACTCTACACAAGATGTACATGATAACAGATATACATATGAGCAAAACACTCATACACACAAATTAAGCAAAATAAATCTAGTTTTAAAGCTGGATATGATTGTGCATGCCTTTAATCCCAGTACTCTGTGGGCAGAGAGGCAAAGAATCTTTCTGAGTTTGAGGCCAGCCTGGTCTACATAGTATGTACCAGGACAGCCAGGGCTACATAGTGAGATTCCATCTTAGAGAAAGAGAGAGACAGACAGACAGATAGACAGACAAGAGACAGAGAACAGAACAGAGAGACAGAGAGATGATTAGATTCATCTATAAAGAAAAGCTCTTTTTTTGTGATACCAGTTGTAATAGACAACTGGTTGTGCCAAGATGAATTTGGATGTCTCCTTCCCAGCTGCCAATTGAGTATATGGCCAAAGAAGCAGCTGCTGAGGCTCTGAATGAGGAGTGGAAGGATTCTGTGGTCTGAATCAGTGGTGGGAACAGTAAACAAGGTTTTCCCTCAAAGCAAGATGTCTTGACCCACAGTACAGCACCTGCTGTTGAGTAAAGGACATTCTCGTTATAGACAGAGAGGAATCACAAGTCTATTGGAGGATGTGGATGCCAATCTGAGGGTTCAGAACTTGGTCATCGTAAAAAAGGGAAGAAGATGACAACAATGCTGACAGGTGCTCCTCTGCCTCTGTGGCTAGCAGAGGGCCCCAAGGAGCTAGCAGAATTTTAAAACTTCTCCATCTTTCTAAAGATGATGTCCAACAGCATGTCATCAGGAAACCCTTTAAAAAAAAAAAAAGAAAAAGGAATGCTTCAGCAATTCATGCGTCATCCTCGCGCAGGGGCCATGCTAATCTTCTCTGTATCATTCCAATTATATGTTCTGCTGAAGCAAGCAGCACCAAGAAACCCTTTACCAAAGAAGGTAAGAAGCATAGAACCAAATCTCCCCCCCCCCCACCAAATTCAGTATCTTTCTACCTCACGTGTCTTGCAGCACAAATGCCCAAGCATTGCTCTGAAGAAACAAAGAACTAAGAAAAGTCAGGATGAGGCTGCAGAATTTGCTAAACTTGTGTCCAAGAGAATGAAAGGAACCAAAGAAAAACATGTCAAGAGATGGAGGCTGTCCTCACTGAGAGCTTGTATTTCTAAGTCCAATTTAAAACAAAACAAAACAAAACAAAAAACTAACAAACAAATGAGCAAACAAATGCTGTGCTGTCTTGAGGGGAACACTATAAGAAGCTCCAGTGTCCCCAGGGTTTCTAACGGCTGCTACCAAAGATTCTAAGGAAGATGGATCCCAAAAGAATAGTATGGAAAGTACTTGACCCTTGCTTCATGACGGAAAACTAGAGACGGAGGCTTATTCCTAATATGAGAATTTGCTTCACAAATAGTAATATCCACGAGTTGCCCATTAGTATGAGTCACTGAACTGTCTTAGTTACTCTTCTGTGCTATAAAGAGACACTATGAAGAAAGTAGCTTATAAAGGAAAGCATTTACATGGGGGCTTGCTTATAGATTTGGAGAATTAGTCTGTTATTATCATGGCAGGGACCATGAAAGCAGGCAGGCAGGCATGGCACTGGGGCAGTAGCTAATAGCATACATCATGACCCACAAGTTGAGGTGGAGACAGACAGACAGAAAGAGAGAGAAAGAGAGAGAGATGGGGAATGGTGTGGACTTTTGAAAACTCAAAGCCTGCTCCTAGTGACACATTTCCTCCAACAAGGCCAGACCTCCGCATTCTTCCCAAACACTTCCACCCACTGGGGATCAAGCATTCAAATACATGAACCTATTAAGGCTATTCCGATTCAAACCATCGCATGACCAAATTAACACAACCCTGTACATTATTCCACTGATACTAGTGTTGAAAGAACTTCACAGACAAAAAAACATGTTGATCATACCATGCCACATGTGAATTTGAAGCAGGCAATATCTTTCTTGATGGCAAGCAAAATGGCAGTCTTGGAAGTTTGTTCCAACAAGAATACTAACCCATTTTATGAATTTTGAAAAACACATTTGTTGGCATACTTTATTGTCCCCTGAACAAATGAGCCATGTCCCCTACAACGTGATCTGATTGCTGGGTTATTTGTTATATGTTTTGTATGTTTTAAAGAACTGGGTGGAAAAATGAAGACACAAATTCTGGAAAATTTCACACCACCACTCTGATGAATTGAATGACATTATGACAATGAAATTAGTTTAAAGGACCATTATCCACCTTGGTTGAAGAAATTCTTTGCTTTAAAATATTTTTTTAGATTTGTTTATTTTATTTTATATGTGTGAATATTTTGCCTGCATGTGTATCTCTACACCATATGGTTGCCTAGTCCTAGAACTGGAGTTATGAACAGTTGTGAGCCACCACGTGGGCACTGGGAATTGAACCCAGATCCTCTGCAAGGGCAACAAGATGAAGCAGGAGAACGTACAGTTGGAGGAGAAAAAGAGATGGCTCAGAGGCCATCCAAAAAAACAGGAGCAGAAGGAACTGACCTTTGTGCTGGAGAGAGACTTGCAAGGACCTACTGGCCAGAACAGTCTCATAATAAACTTGCTAAAGGAGCAGACATTACTGTCTCTGGAGACTCACAGAACTTCCTGATCCATCTTCAGTAATTAGGAGAAAGTTCATTTCAATGGAGAAAGTAGAGAACATGAATGAAGAATGACAATTTAGAGTCAGCTCACCTTCATATCCAAGTGCAAGGACCTGAAGCAGAGGCTCCATACAAGCCAGCAAGGGACTCAAAACACTGAAAACACTATGAAGTAAAAATAGGTGAAGCTTTTGAACAAGAAAGCTTGTTCTGCCAAGACTACGTCCAAGGTAGAACAGGCATCCATTAACACAACTAAAGGAATTTATGAAAAAGAATCCAAGAAGGCATGTAATGTCTTCACAATAAGGAGTGTGGGGTTAAAGCTAGCAGCAGCCTAGGTGGTAAAGTGCTTGTCCAGCATGTAAGAGGCCCTGGGTTCAAACCCCAGCACTGCATAAACTAGGCAACGTGGTGCACACCTTTAAGACTAGCATGGGATGAATGATATCTGTCCCAATAGTAACCAGATAAATAAATAACCAGTTCTCAGTATGGACTTACTCATGCCACAGGGAGAACAGCAGGCCAGGGAAGGCTGCCCTGGACAGCTACTGCTCCCATCGCGTTCAGCTGAGGTGTGAAGCTATTTGAAATGTATTTACATCACAGGAGAATTTAATCCTTCAAATTCGTGTATAGTTTTCAGTAAATGGTTAAAGTTTATATAAAGAGATAGCACTATCTGTGTTTGGTTTCTAGGTAAAATGGTGTGATCACTTTTATTAAATGTTGTCTATTGTCCTTAATCTCCAAAAGAATTGTTTTGGTTTTGGTTTTGTTGAGAAAGTGTCTCCTGTAGCCCAGGGTGGCCTCAAGCTTACTTTGTAGCCAAGGATAAACTTCAATTCTTGGTCTTTCTGCTCAGGCTTCCAAGTGCTGGAAGTACAGGAACGCACCATCATTTCTGAAAACTCTTGCTGGTTACTAAAGACAGGGCTCTGAGCAGCTAGGCAAGCTTCCTATTTGCTCACAATTTCCTTAGGACTTTCTCAGTAAAGAATCCATTCGCCTCAGTGATACTGTTGGTAAAAAACAAAAAACAAACAAAACAGTGTAATGAATGGGAAGAGCAGAAGCAATTTTAATGCCTTCTACTCATTACTAATGCCAAGGACATCTTGGACTTTTATATTCTGCATTATTGGCATTCTATATATCTAATTTAATAGCCTACTTTGGTTATACTTTGCCAAGCTTGCGTTCTTTAATGTGTTTGCATAAATTCTATACTATTAAAGCTTGAAGCCACAAGGGAATTGGTTGAACATTGAATTTTAAACCTTCTGACATTCTTATTGAGCATGCTTATCTTTTCTTGTCAATAGTCCAAGAAAATATACTTAAATGTTACTAAAAGCCATATATATGTTAACTCATTTTAATGCTAGAAGTTTGTCATTTGTCCACAATTTCCTGAAGATCTCTCTAGTGGGGTTTGTTTGCCTTACTTGTTACATCTCTGAGAGAAAAGGTTTCCCCAATGCAAGAGTTGCAGCTTTGAAGGGAAGGTTTTCCCCAATGCAGGTGTTTCAGCTCTGAGGGGAAAGTTTTTCCCTATGCAAGGACAGATCTGAGGTATCCTAGAAGTGGGGAGCCAAGGAATAGCACAAAGCCACACCACACAACAAACCTCACACAAGAGATTTATTGGGAAAGACACAAGAGGGTGGCTGTCTCTTCTCATGAGAAACAGGAAAGAACTGAGCAGAAAGTAGGTTTTATGTAAGGCTTTTGGGGGGATGAAGCTTTCCAGGGTGGCCTGGGATTAGTGGGATTCTGTGGTTTGATGGGATTCTGTGGCTTTTTATTTTTTTTATTTTTATTTTTTCCTATAGTGTAGAGCTTGGCTGCCTGCATCTGGAGGAGCTAGAAGTGGCTATTATGGTCATTAAAGGAGTTCTGGGGGGCAGGGCCTGGCCATTCATGCCTTGAGGGGCTTACATTCCTGACTGCTGCTGGGTAAAAAACAAAACAAAACAAAACAACAACAACAACAAAAAACCACAATCTAGAGCAGTGGTTCTCAGTCTTCCTAATGCTGTGACCCTTTACAGTTTCTCATGTTGTGGTGACCTTCAACCATAAAATTATTTTGTTGCCATTTCATAACTGTAAGTTTTGCTACTGTCATATGTGACCCCCAAAGAGCTTGCAACCCACATACTTGAGAACCACTGGTCTAGAGAGTGGGAGAGACAGAAACAGAAATGACAACACCTCAGTGGCTCTAAGAAGAATGGTACTCACGCTTGAAGGCACATGGTAGGGACTTTATGCTTTTCTTGAATACAGCAAGTTTTTCTTTCCTTTAAGCCATGTGATTTCTAAGTCCATTTTCTTTTCTTTCTTTTTCAGAATTCCCTTTTCCACCCCTTGATACCCGGGCCTATAGATCCTGGTTATGGCAGAAACTGCACCACATATTGGACATTGATTCAAAGCATACGTTGCCTTCTAGAGAACCCTGCCCCTACTCTCCAGGCTGCTGCTACCTAATTGTAACTGTAGCTGTGTCTTCAAAAGGCCATTTCATCTTTTGGTCAAGCCAGCTGCTTTGGAATGGTGGGGAACTTGGCAAGACCAGTGGACTCCATGATCGTGGGCCCACTGCTGCAACTCTCTGGCTGTGAAGTGAGTTCGTTGGTCAGAAGCGATACTGTGTGGAATACCATGCTGGTGGATAAGATATTCTGTAAGTCCATGGGTGGTAGTTGTGACAGAAGCATTATATGCAGGAAAGGCAAATCCATAACCAGAATAAATATCTACTCCAGGAGGAATAAAGTATTGTCCTTTCCGCAGAGGACGTAGTCCAATGTAATCAACCTGCCACCAGGTCACTGGCTGGTCACCCTGGCTAACAGTGCCACATCTGGGGCTCCATGTTGGTTTCTGCTGTTGGCAGATCTGGCACTTAGCAGCAGCTATAGCCTGATCAGCCTTAGTCAGTGGGATTCCATGTTGTTGAGCTGATGCATAATGCCAACTTCTGCCACTGTGGCCACTTTGTTCACAAGCCCATTGGATAAGGACAGGAGTGGCTGGGGAAAGAGGTTAACTGTCTACCGAACGGGTCATCCTATCTACTTGATTACTGCACTTCTCGGCTGAAGTCACCTTTTGATGAGCATTTACATGGGACACAAGTGTCTTCACATTCTTCGACCATTTGGAAAGACCTATCCACATACTTCTTCCCCCGATGTTCTTCTCACCAATTTTACAACCATGCTCTTTCCAAGACCTTGACCATCCAGCCAT